TCGGTGTAGCAACCATGAGCTTTACCGACTCGACCACGCCGACCCCTTATTATTACGATAATTATAGGCTTGAAAAGCTGGCCACAAATGGTTCCAAATGCTTGTTGCCAGAAAGCATATTTTTCAACCAAAATAGAATATTGTTATCTTTATAAAATCTGTAGACATAAGGACTAAATGAATTCCGGTTTTTTTTTTAAATTGACTCGGTATGAAGATATTATATAATATTATACTGCTACTAATGATGTATTTTTTTAGACGCCTGAGTTGGTTTTCTCACAATAGATTTCACTTTACCATCCTGAAATCAAAAGTTGCCTACTGCATCAAGAATATAAACAACAAACCCCGTTGATTTATTTTAAGTATCATTAGACACAAGTCTTATACAATTGTTTTCGGAAAACTAATATATATATATATATATATATATATATATATATATATATATATATATATATATATATATATATATATATATAGGCCTATATATATATATATTTTTTTTTTTTTTTTTTTTTTGAGGACTTAGGTCCTTTTATTAAGTAAAAACATTCTTCAGTTTTGTACTGAATAGTTGGCAAACTAAGACAAATTTTGTTGTCAGAATGTTGGGATCAACAGTTAAAACATGACTGAATAACTATGAAAACTGCACTGTACATTATGACTTATGACTAGGCACCATCAAAGAATATCAACTATGTCTATAAGTAAAAATAGAAAATCACACAATTTTAAATTTTGATTCAAATATATTTAACAGTATTTCAAAAGAATCAAGCTATGTGTGTAATTATTTAAACTTGATAAACTATTAATTATTGCAGTTATAACATATACATCTTTGTTTTCTTTGACTGAGGCTAACACATCCCTTCTTTGAATGAAAATATTGATTTTAAACCAGCAAAGTTGTGATGCAACATTTTCAAAGATATTGGCAGTAAGGAACAAACCAGAAAAATATTGTAAAAAAAAATTTGACAGGCTAGTGAACTAGTAGTCTAAATTTACTTTGTCCATTTTTTTTATATAAATTATATATTGATATACAGAAGTCATCCAGGTAGTGATCCAATGAGAAAACAACCACAAGTGTTACCCAATTGTTCTAAATTTTCTTTTATGTCCAGTTATATATATATATATATATATATATATATATATATATATATATATATATATATATATATATATACTCAGCATGGTAGGAGATTTTTAATTTCAAAGAGTGCATTTAATAATTGATGATAGAAAGAGAAATTATAATTTTGGAGGAAAAAGATGTCAATTTTTTTTAACTCAAAATCACAATTATATATAACCTCACAAAAAGTGCAAGCTACATTTTAATGTCCTTTTGGGGCAATCGTTGTAACTTATTAGTTTCTCTAAAATACAGTAAGATAATAAAAATGCTTTTAATTTATAGGAAACAGACTACTGGTTATGAATACAGTTTTCGGTAGTATTAGATTTGAAAACCTGGAGACCTACTGCATATATACATATATTTATACAAATGAATTCACATCTAGGTTTTAATTTGAAAGAAAATACATCATAATTGCACTATGTACATAATATTACATTACAATTAATTTCACCTTTAGTCCATACAACCACCATGCAAAATTCATTCACCATAATCTCAAGTTAACCCTCTTACACTTAACAAGCGCACCTCTTAAATAAAACAATTGCACTAACTAAAAAATTATGTAAACATTGGAGCAACAATGTAATAATTTGAACTGTCCATTTCAGCTTGCTTATCATGTACAAACTTCTTCAATTAAAATATATATATAAAGCTCAATTCTGTATGTAATTAAAATGCAGAAACTTTGTTTGTTTGTCGTTGACATACGGTTATGGATTTAAGTGTTAGACTATTTACCGTGGTCACAGTCTAAATTTATGAGTTACAAAATTACTGTTGAAAGTGTTGGGGAAATAATTGTCATTTTTCAAACTGATAGTAATAATTGTCAGCATGTTCATTAAACACAATTTTTAAAAAGTAACAAAAATTCTAATTATGTCTGAAAATTATTTTTGTTTAGTCCTTTAGCACTTACTTCCCTTTGATAAATTAGGAAAACACAATTACTTCCCTTTATAAAACATTGCATTCGTGGAAAAGAATTTACTTTTTATTACTTTGTTTTGGTGTTGGGAAAAAAAATAATTACATAATTAGCGGGGATTGTTCAAGTGCAAATGTTGTAGGTATTTTACGGATAAGCTTGGAGTATTATAATTGTTCATTTGGTTTGGTTTGGCACCTACGTTCGTTTAAGTGAGTGCAAAAAGACAATGAATAAGTTGGGGTACTATAGTCGATTATTAAGCTTTTTTCGTTTTCGTTTGTGTTTTTTTCTTTGGGTTTGTGTTTGTATTTGTGTTTGTGGTTGGTTTTGCGTTTGGATTTGGTTTGTTTTCGTTTGCTTTTTCGTTTGTGTTTTTTTCTTTGGGTTTGTGTTTGTGCCTGGTTTTGCATTTGGATTTGGTTTGTTTTCGTTTGCTTTTTCGTTTTTTTTTCTTTGTGTTCGTATGGTGTTTGTGGTTGTGGTTGGGTTTGTTGTTAGGTTTTTGTTTTCGTTTGCTTTATTGTTTGTTTTTTCTTTGTGTTTGTATTTGTGTTTGTGATTATGGTTGGGTTTGTTGTAAGGTTTTTGTTTTCGTTTGTATTTGTAATTGTATTAGCGTTATGTTTGCGTTTTGTTGTTTTGGTTGGTTGTGGTTTGGGTGGGCAATGCCGGGTTTATGATGATTACTAAACACACAGGTAATGGTCTTTAAGAGAAAGGTTTTTCACTGAAGCCAGAGCAGGGCCTGGCCGGGACGGCCAGTATATATATATATATATATATATATATATATATATATATATATATATATATATATATAATATATATATATTATATATATATATATATATATATATATATATATATATATATATATATATGTGTGTGTGTGTGTGTGTGGGTGGGTGTTTGTGTGTGTATATATATATATATATATATATATATATAATATATATATATATTAAATATATATATATATATATATATATATATATATATATATATATATATATATATATATATGTATTTATATGTATATATATATATATATGTGTGTGTGTGTGTTTGTGTCTGTGTGTATAGGCAATGTATACATTCTCGGTCTTTGTTAGACAATGTATGAAATGTAAACGGTATTCTAGAATTTTTTTTTGGCATTACATACATTTCCTAGGCATTATTAATAAAGAAATACAAAAGAAAGAAAATAGATATATTTACTTGAAAAAAAAGTACAGGATGTATAAATATTTACTATTTCATGCAGCAATAGAGACTTTATTTGGAAATTCGAATAGCGCTTTATGTTCTTTACCGAACGCTATCCCTAAACCAAAATCTTATAACAAAACGCAGCCCTAACCTTAACACAAATCCTAACTCCTAACACAAATCCTAACTCTGGCGAATAAGGAAATTATACTCTCTGCCTATTCAACATATAACCTACGTATTTTATAGAATGACAAGGAAATGTATGAAATATATCGTGATAGGAATTCTGTTGAACATAATATGTCGAGTAACTAAAACAAATTATCTTAACTTTCTTATATTAAGTTACATCTGTGATTCAAAAACTATTTTTATTTTAACATTAATGCTTTAAAGAGTGAGTTATTTCGCCATAAATTATTATTCAATATCCTCTGAAAAATTAACATGTGAGGAACATAAAAGACCAAATATATCATTTTGTCGTCAAATTGTATCCATCGGCGAGGGAATGGGTTATAAGCAATAGTTTTTATAGGTCCATGCTACACACTAGCCAGGTGTACAGAGCATAAGTAGGCCTACCCTAAAATCTGTTTGAAAACTCACTTATGTTTTTTATTTTTTTTAAATTACAATGTTTAGTGAATGGGCTTTGTCTCCCGCTTTAAACGGATTTCTAAGTTTCCCTGAAAGAAACACCGTTTTTTTCTAGTTCTACCCCCCCCCCCTTTCATCTCCCCACCCCACCCACACACACACATACACACACACTCCCCCCCCCCAACCCCAACCCCGAAATCGTTGCTACCCCCTCACAGAAGGACGTAGGAGCCTGACGATGAGATATTTTTAACGTGTAGGCTTATAACAGTAGGTGGTTTTTCATTTACAATGGTTATATAGTTGATTTATGAATGGTTAGTTACAGAGTTTCTTCCAGGCATCTCTTCGGGGGGCTTTTTACCGCACCCCCCCCCCCCACCCCCCCCCCCCCCCGAACGGAATGAAATTTATATAATTTATATAGAAAATATATACTTTTAACAGTGTCCGCCGCCCCCCCCCCCCCCGAAAAATTTTTACCGCCCCCCCGAACGGAATGAAATTTATATAATTTATATAGAAAATATATACTTTTAACAGGGTCCGCCCCCCCCCCCCCCCGAAAATTTTAAGTGCCTCCCCGGAGAAAAAAGTCTGGAAGAAACACTGGTTAGTTAGAATTCCTATAACAACATTCCCCAGACATAACACATTTTTATCTGGCACACATGGCACTGGTCTACAGACTCATAAAATTATCAGTTGGGGGAGGGGGGGGGGGGGGGTAATACGTCGTTGAGGAGATTTTTTTTTTTATTTTATATAAGGCACTGGTCAGTCGTGGTCAGTTTTGACCCACTCGTCGTGGGATTCAATACCGATTGTTTATATTTTCCGGATGTGCCTTCCAAATTTGAAGCGGCATCAGCGCCGCTAGTGTTCTAATCAGCATCTGACCGCTGTATTTTATATAAATATTTTTTTATTATTTGGACGTCTCTTTCCCTTCGTGGTGTACAATGCCTAGATATTCGATAGAATGTTTAATTTTACAAACTGTCGGTAACAAATTCATTAGCAATATCATAATCAAAACGATGGCCAAATAAAATAAATGATAAACTCATGTTCTGAAGACAATACAGTTTTGTTTTATTTCCAGTAAGCCTGCCTCATATTGACATTCAAAATGTTGTCGTTGTACCATATAGAGAAGCCGAAGTAACTACTTGCGTCAGGACATGCAAAATTGATCTTTCCTCCTCCCAAAACACAAGAACAATTCCGGTTACGGTTTATCATTTATCATAATATCATAATTTATCATAATATCATAATAATATCATAATAAAAACGATGGCCAAATAAAAGAAAAAGTTCAATAGACAATACAATTTTATTTTATTTCAAGTTATCCCAGTTAAAATTGAATATCGCAATGTTGCTGTAGCTTACAGAATACATCACATGACAACTTCATCTAGAACAGGTAATGGAGATCACTTTTCCTTCCAATATGCACGAACATTTTTTGTACTGTACACCGTACATTACAGAAGGGAAGACCTCACCTGTCTTGTGACACTTTCCGTTGGCGTCGTGGCATCCTGCGAATTGAAATAATAACTTTAGTATAGGCCATAGAGATAATATAAGAACGGAGTGGCCTAGCGGTAGAGAGCTGGACTGCTAATCCGTAAGTCTCGAGTTCGAATTCGGGCAGTAGATCGTCCCTTCTCTGATGGGTAACTAACTCATGTTAGGAAAAGTAAAGACGGCTGTGTATACTGCTGATCACACTCTTCATATGCCGAGGTCATAGAAACAAGCGAACTCTACTCCACTTGCCCCGTAGATCGATAAGTTTGAAAAGGGAAACTTTATGTATAGAGAGAACGTATGCATTTGTAATATGTTATATATATACAGGGCCGGCGCTACCTATAAGGCGAACTAGGCTGTCGCCTAGGGCGCTGGCCGTTGGGGGTGGGGGGGGGGGCAAAATGTGTTGGAAAAAAAATTAAAAGTTTGAGAGGGGTGCAAATCGAAAGTTTGAGGGGGGTGCAAATCGAAAGTTTGTCCCCGGGGGCACGAAAAAAATTGCGGTGGGGGCGCTTTTAATAAATTTTGCCTAGGGCGCTAAATAACCTGGTGCCGGCACTGTATATATATGAGCCCTAATGGAACAGTCTTACCCAGCTAGAGTTCAAGAAACATATAAGTTCTACTTTATCTGCCCAAAGGATAGCTAGTTCTAAATAGGAATCTGTTTTAAAAATGGGAATTATGTTTTATTAAGTTGTGTTTGAAGTAGTTAATATATAAATAAGTCACTTCATCTGCCCTATGTATCTTGGGCACCAACGGGAAAAGATGATGATGAAAGGTTGACGTCTAACCATATTCCACTGAGCGGTATCTTACTTACCGGCAACCGCCAAATCTACTGAGAATAGGGTATTTTCGTTTTCCTTTTTCATAGAACAACTGTAAGTAGAACAGGAATTCTCAAACTGTGTTCCTGTTTTGTAGCAGACCCCGTTTACATCGCAAGCTGCAAGGTTAGAACTTACATTATACATTTAACAAATTTAAGCCGGCAAAGGCAAAACCTGCTGAAGATCATTTACATACAAATTACAATCGGACGCATAGGTTTATATATATAGCTTAATAATTTAATTTCGTTAAAAATTATATAATGAACACCGGTCAGTGGCTTAGCCATGATCGTCTCATTTATATATATATATATATATATATATATATATATATATATATATATATATATATATATATATATATATATATATATATATATATATATATATATATATATATATATATATATATATATATTAGTTAGTTAATTAAATTAATAATTTTAACCATTCCTTAAGGGCATGGGCGGGTGATGAGTACCAACTTTCTTATTTCCAAGTCTAAAGATGTAATACTTGGCTAATAGTTATAACTCAAAGAGTTAAGCATAAAAATATTTTTTTTTATTTTTTAAATCTTGCGTTGCCATGGTGACGGCGGCCATATTGGATTTTATTGACGATTTTTAAATGGAAATAACTCAAAAATGGTTTGTACAAATTTCATGAAAACTTAATATAGTCTGCAGACACATGTGTTTAAGACTTCTGATAGATTACATTTTCAAAAAAGAAAATAGTTTTTTTTTTACTTTTTTTTTTCAAACATCACTGTAAAAATTTCATTATTTCGTCCAATTTTTTCACTATTTCAACAACAAAAAATTTTTTTTTACAAAAATTCCAAAAGTGTTCTATCAGTTTTATTTGAACATATATAAAGAGTAACTGGAGCAAATTTAGTTCAGTTCTGATAATTATTAACAAAGTTATTTCAACAATTGTACAAAAAAACATCAAACTGAGAAAAACGCAAAAAACTAACAAAAAGTTGCAAAAAATGAAAATTTATCGCTGTATGTCACTAAAATCGACCACATTTATAGCCTGAAGTTTGGTGCTGCTGAATATATTCCTTCTGAGCTTGTTCGGCTGTTAGTTTTATTTTTTTCTGGCGCTCTTTGTTTTACCTAGAGTTGTAGTAAAGCTGTTGTCATGGCGTCTTTTTTCGCGTCCTTCACTGAGTCTTCGACTATGGTTTCCTTCTTTTGACAGCAATGCCATAGCATGCCTGGGCCCAAAATTGAATTATGCTATCGCAGAAACAGAAGTATATTTTGCATGGTCTCATGTCTAAAGCCAATTATGATAAGACGATGTCTTTGTTTATTGTGAAAGGCCTTGTTCTGGATTCTTTTGCAGTTGTATACTTACGGTTTACAACATTTTTATTACTGCCACACCATGCTTGAAGCAAACCCTTTACACTTTTTTCATCAATAGTAGCCACTACATCACATGTATTGATAACATCAAGAAGCAAATCACAGTCGACAATAATTCTGCATGGCTGTGGTTTACAATTAGTACTACCAGTACGAGATGTAACAGTGCTTTCTTCTGTCTGTAAAAACTGTGTCTTACATTGCCGCAGTTTCTTAGTAAATGTGCATATTACATCTGCACCAGTGCTTGTCTGAATAGTGCTAGATTGAGTGGAGGTAGCTGCAATCAGTTGCATTCGGACGTGTCCTAGCTTTAGTAAATTAGTTAGATGTGTGTAGTGTATCTATTTTTAGCGAGTGTTTTGTTCTACGCATTATCGAAAGAGAAACAAATTAAATCGCCTCACTGCTTATGATAATTCACACAAACTAATCTAAACTGTTAATAGTATATTTAATTGAAATAATTATATGTTAAAATAATGTAAGTATTTTACAGAAGCTTAGAGAAACAAAACTAGATCAAACTTAGCAACGCGCTGAAACTAAGGGAATGTTTACTTACGAAGCGAAACGACCAATCGCTAACTAGCTTCCGCCGCCGTATGCCAATGAAAAAATTGAGGTCAAAAATTTGCATACCGGAAAAACCCGACTGAGTAAAATAAACAACTTTATGACGTAGAAAAATAATCACATTAAAATAGGTATTTTGATTGGTCATTTAATTTTAGAACAAATAAAGAAAGGAGGTCACGGCCTTTCCATTGATATGAAACACATTAGGTTTCCGCGAAGCCTAATAGTACTTTTCTAGGTCGAAACATTGCTATTTTTACTAAAAAATTAAACAAAAGACCCTGTACACACTACATTGAACCCGGTTTTTCATAATTAAATACTAATTTTAGGGTCATAACAATGTCATTTTTAGATTCAACGATGGTTATTCTGTATAGATCAAGTAAAAGTGGGAAATCGATGATTTAGTGGATTTATGACGAAAAGTACACCCGCCCATGCCCTTGTATATCATGAGACAGAAAATCAAACAAAAATATGCTTTAACTAATTTTGGGCAAGATATAATCGTGTTTTAAAAACGTTAATATCTCATGTATACTTTTTTAATAAAATTCTTACTTATACCCGCAAAAAATTTTGAAAGAAGTAATGTCTAGCAAGCCGTTCTAAAATAATAATATAATAATAATTAAGAGAAGAAATTGTTTATTAACGTGCTTTGTACAAAAGTATTAACATTAAATTGCAATACGGGTGATAAGTCATGGAAGAGGTTTGTAGGTTAAAATAGCTATTTTTTTGTCAATGCACTAGTGTGTGTTAGCTACTAAAGAACAATCACTGATGTAGTAGATATTATTAAAAAAAAAACATTAGTCTATCAAGATACAAAGAACATAATTGTGTTGTTTTTCTTCGGATTTTGAGACCCTAAATGAAATTACACACACACACAATTTCACCCCCACCCCCTGTATTGCGGAATTTGGCGGCATAGTACTTTTAGTACATTTACATGTTTCGCAAATGTACGTCACCGATTAGTACCGGGTAGTGGTTCTCAACTCCATCCATTCACCACTGTCCTGATACTTTCGATTTATTACCTTACCCAGCGTTTACCTAGGTATGACATTTATGTCTCTCTAAACAAATACCGCCCATCGCATTTTGGGGGTGAGGTAGGGGGGGGGGGGGATAACCAACTCAGTGTTAGTTTTTAGATGGCCGTTCTAAACATACATAAACAATTATACAAATATACTGATTTAAAAAATATTTAGATAGAATACAGTGGAATTATGACAATAAATTCAGAGGAGTCCGCGGTAGACCCCCTAATTCTGTTTTTTTTTAATTAATCGCCGCATTAAATCACATTTGAAATAATATTACACTACATGAAATAAGCTACACCAATGTTTAGTATCGAATTAATTAATTGGTTAATTAATTTAATTAATTACTTAAATAAGTAAATATATTAATTAATAAATAAATAAATATATACCAAACAAATAAGAAAAAATAAGCTAAAATAAAAAAATAAACAATTAAATAAATAAGAAAATGAACAAACGTATGATCAAACAAATAAATTAATCAGTGAATCAATCATTCAAGAAATACATCAATCAATGATATAAAGTAAGCCGCATCATAACTTACCTCGCTATCACATCATAACTTACCCCCTTCAACCAAAGTGATTGTTCCATCGTTATTACATTTGTATTTTAAACAATTAGAAACTTTAAAAGTTTCCCCGGTTTTGTAAAACTTCTCGTCGACATAACATCCCACAACTGTTCCAACGACATATCCTAAAACAACATTTCTTTTTAAAATCCAAAACTATAATGCATGTGATGTTGAAAACATGTTTACACTTGACTTTTAAGACATCGCTATCTAAATTGCTTACCATTCAAAACATCAAACTTAATAAACACAACAGCAAAAACGCCAAGCATGAAAACTCCGGAAACCTGCAGGTAAAGTAGAGTTTGTGTATTCAAACGATTGAACCTGCCATTTTGTTAAACCTTAGATTTGCTGCCTAAGACAATTGGACATCTGTTTATATACTGATCTGCCTAACGTAACATTGAATGCACAAAACACATTGATTAACTTACTAGCTTTACTTATTAATCGCACTGAACCAAATTTACTAAATTCCTATCATATTGCTGTTAGCTTACAGAAAATTATGCATTTTGCTAAATATAGTATGGAACATGAATGTGAAGATCCATTAGTGCAATTAGACCGTCATCTTTGATGCGTAACATTCAGATTCAAGTTTATTATACATGTATCCTTTTTATTAAATTTATACTTGGTATTCAGAAAACTGTATTTGACGTACCATTTTCTTGTTGAGATGTCATGAACTGAGCAGCAGGAATGTGGCAAGCTGAGACAGCAACTTGTTTTATAGGAGAAATACAATGCACTCCACTGATGGCATCCAAAGGCGGATTGACCAGAGGTCGGAATACACAGGTTAGGGGGGGGGGGGGGGTGACTATGATTTCAAATGTATGTTAAATTAAATGTTAAACTACAAGGGTCGACGTGGTCGAGTCGGTAACGTTTATGATTCAATGAAGGGTAACTTCGTTCAATGAATGGTAACTTCGTTCAATGAATGGTAACTTCGTTCAATGAATGGTAACTTCAATCAATGAAATGAATGGTAACTTCTTCAATGAAATGAATGGTAACTTCTTCAATGAAATGAATGGTAACTGTTTTTAATAATGGTAACTTCGTTCAATGAATGGTAACTTCTTTCAATGAATGGTAACTTCGTTTGATGAGTGATAACTTCGTTCAATGAATGGTAACTTCATTCAATGAATGGTATCTTCGTTCAGTCAATAGTAATTAATTAATGGTAACTTTTTTGCCAGTGAAGAAAAGAGCTTTACCCAACTGAAAACTCCGAACTAACTCTTATCTCTATTACGCCTCTGATTCAATATCTACAAATGTCCACGTAGAATAGCTTAAAAACCTCCAAGCTAATCTCATAGACATGTCTCTTAGACCTGTATCCATATACATGCTGGTAGCTAACATACACAATTTTTATATTGTGCTTTAAACTGTGTTTACAATAATGTATTCTCAAAATTAAAAAAAAAACATATTCTTAATGTGTGATATATTTATACGGGTAACACAACACGAGTTCAGCCAGTGAATATCTGTAAGTATTGATACATTGGATACGGGTTCTGTTTTAAGCCATGGAATGCTACAATAGTACAAGATATGAGTTCTGCTGGTCGGGTGTTTAAGCTGTCGTTACATGCGGGAAAGAAGAGTTTAACTGGGATTTATTTATCCCACCATAACGAACCGCTTTTTGTTGCTTTTTATATTTACAACAATTGCATTTTAATTCATAACTGACATTATAGTTTTTACTTTTCTTTAAATTATATGTATACGTACAGCGGCGGTAAGTTAGCATACACATCGGTGGGGCCAGTTACTATTTATAGGAACTATTTTACATTAACGTTCAGTAGGATTTTGTACAGGAATGATACACAAGTTTTATTAAACTCTTTATAATAACATTAAACAGGCACCAAGGATCTACTTTTAGACGGATCAGATAATTAATATATATATGATATCATTTAACAGGCACCAATGGTATATTTTTAGACGGATCACATATTTATCTGGCTATAGTTTTTTTATGATACCATAACAGATGATAACAGAGCTGGAATGTACGCTTGATCAAACGCAGCAACGGTGAGCTAGGAAACAAACCTTTGAAAGCCATGATATCATGGGCTTCAAGGGGCTCTGTTGGGCGCCAACATATCAACACCTCAGGACGCCCCTTGTCCAAGTTCATTGTCGATTGTTGTAGCCAAAGTTGCTTGGTTGAAATTATGAAGTGGCCATAGTTAAGAAAGTTTTCGAAGCATGTGGACAGTAAGTCAGCTAAAGTACAGTTCACCTGTTTCTGTTTTTGCATTTAAAAGGGTGATATAGTCAGCACTATGCCCAGCTGCCTTTTATGCCCCTAACGTTTGTCAGGTGACCATCAGGGTTAACTTAGAGGCGTCCAATGGACTCGAAATCAAAACTTGAACTCGTGACCTTCGGGCTATCGGTCAAACGCTCTACCATTTGACCACGTCATCCCATTATGTTTGTGCTAGTTGACCCTGCTACACATTGACTAATGATTTCTGTAGTGTGACATCTCTAATTACATTTTACCTCGGTAGCCCTTACAATTTTTCTTCTAAGAGTTGTTGAAATGTATATCCTGACGTGCTCAATTCTTTCTTGTTGTACGACGTCACAAAAGATTATTTGCATTGATCAATGCCTGAGTTTTAACGACGAAACAATTTTATTTTTTCATTTATTTCAAACAAGTTGGTGATGTCTAGCATGCAAGTATATGTCGCTTCAACTTTTAGGGTCCACACACAAGGCGAGTCTGTTTCTGCCTTTTACGACTAGAACATCTTTTATATGGATCCCATTGCTTCCCATTGGAAACATTCGCATTCGTCTACTTTGTGGTAATCATTACCCATGCCCGGTTATTCTGCAAGTTTAAAGATTTTCTAATATTTGATATACTCAAGTGTCGAGTTATTTTCACAATAGCTCAAGCATTTAAAAGATTCATTCCCATGTTTGATAGGTTACTTGTTGAAAGATTTTTTTCCAGAAGTTGAAAACAAATGCGGTGTAATGATTCCGGAGAAGTAACAGGGAAAAGATATAGAGGCCAAATTGCACTACAGGAATTGGTGTTAGGAAAGATAATGGTACTGTTGTGTCAACTAGTGTAAAAGTTGGAGACAAAATAAAGAAATTCAAAAGAAAGAAAATGGATATATTAACTTGCAAAAAAGGACAGGATGTATAAACATTTACTATTTCATTCAGCAATAGAGAATTTAATTTTTAATTTTTTAATAGCACTTAATTTTCTTTAACAAACTCTATCCATAAACCAAAACCATATACCAAAACCCAATCGTAACCCTAATAGAAATCATAACACCATCTTTAATTTTTTTTTTTTTAAACGTAACCATCTGGTGAATAAGGACCTCTTACTCTCTGCCTGTATGACATATAAGTATTTTATCTAATGATTAGAGAATGTATGAAGCATATCGTGATAGGAGTTTTCTGTTGAACATAATATGTCGAGTAACTAAAAAAATTATCTGAAGTTTAGTATATCAAGTTACATCTATGTTACAAAATCTAATTTTATTTTAACATTAATGCTCTAAAGAGTGAGTTTTTTCGCCATAAATTAGAAAAAAAATTTCTCTGAAAAATTAACATGTCATTGTGAAGAACTTAATGTCCCATTATATAAAGAAACCTGGAGTGATCTCCCCTAAACTTTCTCGAATATTCTTATATAAAGTAATAGGGCATGGTAACTCGAGCTATGGACATGATTTTTAATCCATCTTTAATTACTTAAACTTTTTAAAATAGTATATAATCTCGTAGAAAAATGAACTGCACAACAAGTGAACGCAAAAAAATATGTATAAGGGTGCGGAATATTACTAGTACTTACTCAAAAAATTACTCACGTTAAATGCTTTTGAAAAATTGAAAGTAGAAAAAGTTCCACTACGGGTTATCGGAAATCGTTCAAAAGCTGATACTGGTCTATGATTTTGATATAGTACTTATATATTAAATTTCATCAACCTAGCTGTAACGGTACTCAATTTATCTTGTTTACAGACACACACACACATACTCACACACATACACACAGACATATTGACAAGATTGCAAAACTATGTTTTTTCGACTCAGGGAGGAGTAAAACGTCGAAAAATCTAATTTTTTTCATGATTACAAGACTTTCTCTATACTTCGTATATACGAGAAAGTAAATAGACCGAATATATTATTGTACCGTCACATTTTATCCATCTGGAGGGCATGGGTTATGAGCAATAGTTTTCCCATATGGTAGAGTGTTTTACCGAGGTCCATGCTACACACTAGCCAGGTGTACAGAGCATAAGTACCCTACTATTCCTTTGAAAATTCATCTGTTTTTCATTTTTTTTTTAATTTCAATGTTTATATAATGCATTGGTTCTCTCGCTTTTAACGAATTTTTAGGTTTTCCTGAAGGGAACAAAAAAATTTCAAGTTTTTTACGCCCCCCCCCCCACACACACCCTATCTCCCCACCCCCGTTATCGTTGCTAGGATCTCACAGAGCGGCGTAGGAGCCTGACGATGAGATATTTTTAACGTGTAGGCTTATATCAGTAGGTGGTTTTTCACGAACATTTACAAAGGTTGTATATTTAAATATGAATGGTTAGTTTAAATCCCTTTAACAACTTTCCCCAGATATAAAACTTTTTTTAAAACGTTTTTCTTAACTCAGCTTCGCGTTTGTTTGTTTGTTTGGTTGTTTGGATGTTTGTTGTTAAAATTGACATCGAAAATTAGCCCACTTCTGATTGCTCTAGAGACCTGAAATTTGGCATGCATGCTACTTTCGCCTAACAATTTCAGATGCAATCATAAAAACTAGCAATTAGTGACCGTAATTAGCTTAATTTAATTACGCCCCAAGGACCATAAAATTGAGGACATGATTTCTAAAGATACCGACAAGACTTTAGGCCTATTGACACAGTTACTTCGGCCCCAATCGATGTGAGCGCGCTGGCCGTGATCGTATAGTGGTTAGTACTTCGCGTTGTGGCCGCGACAACCCAGGTTCGAATCCTGGTCGCTCAAGATTTTTAGTCCGTGTATTTATAAACACTTTTTTAAAAACCACGTTTTTCATGTATAGCAACGGACTAAAAAGGAGAAAATAAAATACTTAAAAAAACTTTTTAAAAAACCACGTTTTTTATGTGTAGCAACGGACTAAAAAGGAGAACGGACACGGTAACACATTGTTAACGGTGACACGGTTGGTACGCTGGGCATGCTAAAATATACATAAACACGTTTTTCCTTAACTCAGCTTCGCGTTTATTTGTTTGTTTATGGGAGATTTGATCACGTGATTCGTGAGTAGATCTCCACGCCAGCAACGTAAATTACACCCTTTCTCTGTTTAAAGCGTATCGGTCGCTCAAGATTTTTTTAGTCCGTGTATTTAAAAACACTTAGTCAAGTCATACTTAATCAAGTGATTAGATAAAGTAGACAATAAACTATATAAAAAACTTTTTAAAAACCACGTTTTTCATGTGTAGCAACGGACTAAAAAGGAGAAAATAAAATACTTAAAAAAAAACTTTTTAAAAAAACACGTTTTTCTTGTGGACTAAAAAGTAGAAAATAACTATTTACATACATTTGATGACAAAAAACGTGGGTCGGGCAGATGGGTCGGGAAATTTGATGGTGAACGTACCC